AATATTTAAAGATATTAATATTTATACTATTGAATCTTATTCGATATTGATAGTTTGTAGTAACATACTAATGTTGATTTAGATATATATACCCATATATAGTCATTAATACATATATAATCAGTCGGATCATATTTATCTATTTAATAACAAAATAATTAACTAACTTATTCCATTCCTATCTGATCTCACATGTGATTGATAATGTGATATATATTTAATATAAAGTAAACAGAAAAGGGTTTTATAATAACTGACTGAAATATAACATCAGATCAAATTACGAAATTAGTATATATATATATATATATATATATATATATATATATATATATATATATATATAATAACGTATATTCTTCTCATGTTCTTTTAATTACTCAGTTTGATATGAAGACAATTATTTACTCTATAACAAACGTATAGAGAGAAAAAAAAGAGTTATTAAAAGAACCATTCAAATCAGATGTGATCTTATTTCTTTTACTCGATTTATTAAATGAAACAGATACTATGATTATGAATAGAAATTTGATAGATTTAAGATCTAGATATATATTTACTCTAATTAAGTTCAATTTCATTGGTAAATAAGTCTAGTATATGTGTAGTTTTATTCAAAGTATCACTAATGACTTAACTTATTATTCAAGTGTATAATATGTAGTTTATTCTATTTTAAATGACTTAATAAAATTTACACAAAATGTGGATAGGTTTATGAAGCATATGATAAGATTATGATCATCTCAATTAATTGAGCATACAATATTTTGAAGAACTTATTATTTTGGGCTATTAAAATCATATAAGTTGTAATAATAATAGTAAGTATATACTAATGTAATATTAATCACTTTAATTATTACTTACGCCTGTTACTCCTCGTGAAGGAGCATAGGCCAAACACCAGCATTCGCCATCCAACACTGTCCTGGGCAATCCCTTCCAGCTCATTCCAGTTCTTATTCATCCTTTTCATATTTACTTCTATTTCCCAAAATAATGTGTTCTTTGGCCTTTCTCTTTTCCTCTTTTCTTCAGGATTCCAAGTTAGGACTTGCCTCGTGATGAAGTTTGATGATTTGCGTAATGTATGTCCTATCCATTTTCATCGCCTTTTTCTAATTTCTTCTTCAGCTGGAAGCTGGTTTGTTCTCTCCCAGAGAATGCTTTTGCTGATGGTATCCGTCCAATGACTTTAATTATAGTCGTTTATATTATATAGTAGGGAGCAGTAGGATCGACAATAATTTTTCAACCTATTCGGAGACCAGTGGGTGGATGGATGTATGTGCACCAGTGTTGTTTTTATTGAAAGTTTGACGAATCACTTTATCTCTTCACCAGTTAGAAAATTATCCTCTAAACTACTGAGTCACAATAGCTCTCACCTCTTCAAAAGGTATGGGGTTAGCTGTAATGATCAGAAATATTTTCTAATTAATATTCATGACTGAATTTCACCAGTCGCTGTTATACGGGTTCCTTAAAACTATACCTTGGTGTTTAACGGATTTACCAATTGATTATAATTTGGAAAATCGGTAACAGTTTAATCCATGTTAGACGTTCAGTTCTATTCAAATAATCCTCTAATATTTGAAGTGATAGCTCTAGGCCTTCAGTTTTAACAGGAATATAAACACTGGGATGTATGTACATCCAGCTAACAAATCGTGAATATGTGGTATTTGAATTTAAGATATAATCAACTAAATATTGATATTACGGAGACATGTTCAGGAAATTTAAGAAACAAAAACGGACCAAACAAATGCCAACAACCCTTTGTTACTGATTTCTCACTAATTTATCAAACATTGTGTCCCACTACTGTGTAGAACTTAAACCATATATCTAATCAGATTTTACTGACTACACCTTCAGTATTAACAAATTTTCTATAACTAATCGACTTCTTTCAGAATTAGGTGAAAGAAGTAAACAAACTAATTTATTAATCAGATTATCTTAATAAATAGTTTGATTGAAATTCAAAAACTGTTTGTTGTCTTTTTATTGAATTAAGCCGTTTGTAAGAATTGTACTTAATTCTACAATAGTTCTCACCAAGAATTGACATTGAATAAAGATTCATCAAAAATGAAGGGAATCAAACAACCAGGTTGATGTGATCTGCAACGAGCAAACTGTTATTTGGTTGGAAGTGAAGAAAAGGTCGGAGAATATGAACACAGTGACCTCAAGTGTTGGAAAAAGTATGAGATTCGTTGTCACTTCATGGTCCTCTACACTGTGGAAGAAAATCTCTTGAGAAAACACTTTAAAAAGTAACAGGATTAGTAGTGGTTTAATTAACCTAAGGGCGTGACTGCAGAGCACAAGTAGACATCGTTTGAGACCTGTTATATACGACCTTTTTGCGAGTAGTTTTGGTGCATTAGCTCCGTGCTTTTTAAACCTTACTACTGGTGAAAGATATCCGTGTCACAAGTTGAAATGTATTATTGTTACAGCTGAACATTTCAAACCCATTCATTCTGTTGTAGAAAGGCGGGATCGTTACAGATGCTGGTTGTTTAGTGGAAAGAACTTACTGTAGTCACACTCTGTACAGTTTGCAGTATAACTTCGCCTTCGAACATAAATTTGTTTCTTTTAATCTTACCTTTCTCCTAATCCGCCTGCATAACATAGTAGGGAGTACATGAAAGAAGGTTATGGTTAATGTAAGTCAACTGAGTTATCACAAGATGCAAGCTCACTTCAAGGTAGCAGTGTAATCAAGCTATTCAATAAACCACAATTCAATAACTAACATACCCAACTTTAGTTTATTCGTGATATAGTGAAACCATATTTCATCAATATTATTATTATTTATATTCAGAAATCATACATTCTTACAAGAAATTTTGATAATATAAATTTTTCAGCTGATCGCCAAAAAAATTATCTAATCAGATGATTAGTACAAATTCTGTACTAAATTAAGGTATATTTGATCGGAGATTATTATTATGTACTCAAACTTAATATATGTCTATCAAACGAAACAAAAATCGATTTGATGATTATATTTCACGTAAACAATGGACTTATAAAGATAATAAAATATTATGTAAATAATAAGGACTACTTGTATATATGTCACTAATCAATTAGAAAATGTAATTTATGAGAAGATACAAATCAGAAATGAACTTCTACGTGTAAAATTTATCAGTGATTTTTGTTGTTGTAGAGAAATAAAAGACAGAAAACTTATTACAATAAGAGTCGACTAATGTCAATGTGTACTACTATAATAATCAATCATTCTTCTATATTAATAAGAATGTTAGAGAAAAAGAGAAATTAATTCTAAACTAGCCTTATAGTATACTGAGTAATGTTAAAATAGATAGAAATATTAAAGAAATATAAATCTTCGTTAGTTTATAACGAAAAATCTGACAGTTGTACCTGTTTCATTGTTAAGATTATTTTTATTTATGTTAGATATTTACCATCTAAGAAATCTATGGTATGATGGTGCAATCCTATATGTAACATGAACTATATTACTTAGACCGATACAATCAAAATTCATATAAAATATTTCATTATTTTGCTTATGTACTGTGGAGACAGAAGCCGATTATACAGGTATCATCAATAACAATTAAGAAAACTAGATGTTATTTTCTTAAACAGTAACAATCAATCAGAATCTATTGTGTTAATGCTTGGCAAACTTAGTATTACCCTCTGCAACCTTATTAATGAATGATCAGTAAATTACTTGGTCTATTTATAGTGATAGTGCTAAGTAAAAAAGTACCCAGCATTACACTCACGAAACTCATTGATTTGACACACTTTAGTGAGTACATACAATTTTCAGTTATTTAATCTATATAAACTGGAAATTATTCAATAAGCATTATCAGATCATATTATAAAGACGATAAATTAGCGAAGCCACAAATCAATAACAAATATTAACGTGACTTTGATGCCCGATATCACTTGTGACTAATGATGCTCCTCTCAATTTTAAGGTAGAATGATGGTGAAATAAATAGTTAAATGGCATGCTGTGGAAGCCATATATACATTTACTGTTTGAAATTTACATTGAAACATAATAAAATAACCACAGAAACGAATCGCTTAAAAGCAATATGTATATTAAACAATTACGCAACTCATACAGATCCTGTAATCTAAACTAAGATCCACGAACAATGTTTATATGAAACAAAGAGAAAGACAGGAGTATAACAGAAAAAGATATTAACAGTTGATGATGGCGACGATGAGCTGTGTATGGATCTGAAAGAAATATTTCCCATCATCTTTATTCAAAAACAGTCGTCAATTAACACATGAAATTTTTTATTCTCAAGAAAAGAGATATAGTTACAACAATAATTGAGATAGAATATTTCGCATCACATAATTGTGCACATCATAAGTAACTTTATATTCTTCTTTGCAAAAACTATCTGACAAAATAGTGATCTGTAACATCATTACTGACATTATATTTGCATAGATAATAAAATCAGTAGGGAATTTCTGTTCAACCTCATTAACCATATGAGTTTTGTTTTTAAAACATTTATAAAATGTCTACGAATTCATCGGTTTTTTAAGGGTTGTAGTTTACTCCTATTTATAGGAATACTTTTTTATTAGTAAATAATTCTAATCTCAGGAACTGCATAAATGTTCGCATATTACATTTTCAGCCAAACATAACGAATGCCCTAATAGTACTACAGTTCGTACGTCCAAACATCATAATATGGAGATGGTTTCGAATGCACAACTAAATGGAAGTAACGGGTCTTAAACAAAATCCAAAACTTAAATGAATCAAAATGAAAAATCACTTTGGTAAACACCCATGTTTTACTTCGTTGATATGTCAACACTATAGTAACCAAAACAAATACAACACACACCTGAACTAGTCTGTTAAATTTATGCGTTTACACAGATTCAACATTACAATCATTCCATTAATTTTATAGAAATCCAAAACAAATTTAGAATTCAATTTTGTTGATATTCATTACACGACAAATATGATTTTTCTTTTTTTAAAAAAAAGGAAAAGAAAATTTATGTATATTGAGCAAACATATTAATTTAAATCTGGTAAAAAGTAAAACCATGATAAGTATAAATCAATAATAAGAAGGAATTCTTCCAGAGTAGAAATTCCAAATACACAATTTTTTTCATAATGTTAATAATAATAATAAGATCAATCGCAAGAAGAAATAGTACAGAAATGAGTATACTTTAGATTATCTGTAGAGAAGAAGTAAAAAGGATAGGGCACGGAAATAATAATGAAAATGAATAATGATGGTATTATTATGAAGTCACTTGAACATACATGAACGCACGCACGCATAAACACAAATACATACGTTTACAAAGTGTAATTCCAACAAAAAGTTATCAAACAGTTTGTACCTCTTTTATCTTTCATTTATTTATAATCATCAGCTTTCAAAAAGCCATTGTTATTGAGGGTAAAGAAAATGTGTATTGGAATCAATAAAGAATAAATAATCAATATACATCGGAAAGATAGTCATCCATACAAAGGAGATAGATGTTGAGTGAAAAAATCATTCCGAACACTATATATAATTGTTATTAAATCTCTGCGCCTATATAGAAAAGACATTACATCAGTGAGAAGTAGTTAATGTAGGATTAGTAGTAGGGATAGTGATTACAAAAAAAAGACTCAAGTATGTATATTTATAGTATAGCATAAAAATTACAATATACTGTGGAATAACAATCATTGTCATCATTTGTAAAATTTATCTGTCACGAGGGACAAAAAGGAAAACATGTCGCAGTAAAGAAAATGGAAATTTTAACAAGACGTTTGAATGGAATAAGTGTTGTATAAATTGATCCTGTAAAAAAAACACATCGAATATCTCACCTAATTTTAATATGGGTGTTTCTTTGCATTTTCTGTTCCATGTAATAAACAATATGAAGTGAATTATTTACTGTTGCTATTATTACTGGTGTTGCGATTTGCTATTGAACACTCCAGTCTGCCAGAGTATAATTATCACAATTACCAGAAGTATGCCACCGACAACGCCAACAATAATTAATTTCATACGAAAATTTTCCCACCAAGTTTTTCGGGCCACTTTTGTAGCAGTTGTTTGGAATTGATTAGCCTGAAGAAAAACGATTTTGAATAATTTTTGTGAGTTTATACATAAGAAAATATAAAAATAAATCATTAGTCTTTTCTTCGAGTTGAACATGGCCTTATCAACTTTGGTAATAGTTGTAAGACATGTCAATTTTCTATTGAGGTTGTCTGGAAATAGTGGGTAACTGAAGAGTAGTTCAAGACCAGTTGGACTGTTACGTTGTGTTTTGTGGAATGAGAGTGGATTACGGTTCGCCTTTTTCTATGAAGCAGTTACACTAACACAATGTTCAAGTACTATTTTCCTCACAATTCACAGAACTGTCGAATCATCGACTAATTGAACAGCTCTAATACAAAAAGCATAGTATTCAATATAAAAGCGAACATTGCCTTATCTATAATAATTTTCCCTTAAATAAATTATGCCCTCAAAGGAGAACGATAAAAGCAAAACTAGAATACACAAGATACAACAAATTTCTATATTATTATGAGCAAAAGAAGAGAAATCTACATATAAATGAATGTAAAGAACAATAGCCGTGACATACGACCCTGTAGTAAATTTCAGAAGAAATCGGTTGCGAAGGAAAACAAAATGCGTTGCCTTGACAGAACAACTTACAATGCGAAGAGAAAAAGGTTGTATACTAACAGAAAGACATAGTGTGTATGTGTGAGAGAGGAAGTAATCGATCGAGGAGAAAAACAATAAACAAAGTAAATTAATATCTGCAAGTATTGCTTTTTTTGTTTATACATTTACAAGCATTAAGTTAGGAAGTAAATGCTACAACCTACATTTCTGTACAGATAATAGTTAACTTGAGTCAAAAATGAAATAAAAGTGCAAGCATTGAATATATATTGAGATAAATTCATTAGCTGGATTACAGAAGGATAATTGACGTATAAAAATGGGAGAGAAGATTTGTAGATCAGGTGAAATTTCGTTTTCTGAATTAAATGATTGTACCATGAAGTTTTCATAGTTCTCCTGGACATCATTTCCAACATAAACTACCTGAAGTTTATGTTGATGTTGTTTAGAAGAACAACGAATGCTTCAAGGTTCACTTATCCGACTCAAAGGATGAAACTACACGAAAACCAAAAGCCAATCGATGATTAATAAGAATGACAGAACACAGAAATTTATAGAACTAACTTTTAATAAACTTAATAACCTGAATTATGATAGCAAAACTTTTGAAGGCAATTTTACATGTGAAAATACGATTGATTGTCTGACATCTATAAAATATTCAACTTCCTTATCTGATATTGTTCAAATTGAATAAATAAACTGTTTATGATCCAATATTTCATTTAAGTAAAGTACATAAAAACATATTGAAAATACAGATACAGCTTTAATAAATAAAGGTTAATAACTATCGATAAGTTTAAATTTTAGGTGACTAAACGACTCGACATTACGAAAGCGAGTAATATGTCATGTAATTTATAACTCTAAAAAGTCGAAATACAACACAAAAAAAGTTGCATAAAAACCCTTACATTATATATATGTATTTCTCTTTAAAACGAAGTATCATTATCCAGACATTCTTAGTTCATTTCATGATTCTACATAAGTTGGTACGTGATTTTAAATTTAAAGACACTAACTAAGCGACTCTTCAAAATATTATTTAATTTACTTATTCTCCTTAAGAGGACTTGTAAGCTTCAGCTATACTAGTTTTGATATTTGCTTTTCATTTTGTATCTTGAAAACAATCTAACGGCTATTTAAAATGTTAACTGATACAACAGGATAAGATATTAAATCAAAGTTGGTTTAACATATTGAATAGGAATACCTTTCAGCCAACAACCTAGTGAGTCAACGTCTTGGTAAAACTGAACTATACTGGCGACCTTGAATAGATCGAGACTTATGATAACCCATATCCGATTTCTGCGCAAAAATCAAACTAAGCAAACCCTACCGATATTTAGTTCCCAAAACATTTAAAATCGATGGAAAAAGTATTCTTATGCAACCACATAATAGATGTGACATAGTATGTAAACTTAACCCAGAGAAATACCCGCCGCTAATGAAGATTGCATCTAAATGATGTGATTTTGGATATAGTCAAGAGCGTTTATATGATCGCAAAGTATTTTCTCACTCCAACTCCTAAACCTCTCTCTAAACAATAGGATGATACCATAATTTATGGACGAAGTAGTTAGGCATTAGATAGCACCTCTTGAATATTTGCGCGAAATCCATTCATCCATATTACTATAAAGCACTCGCATCATAGCTGTATCAGTTTGCGAGTAAAAACCTCATAACCCTAGCCCAAACTCCTAATACATAACCCTTATCATTCTTCGTTTACTATAATAACTTAACACATAAAGGTTCATTGATCATGTTAGAACTATTTATCTACAATAATTTTATTTATGACTTCTTATTGTTAATTATTTTATTAGTAAACACTTTTCTGATTGGATAATAAGTCACCTAAGATCCCCAGTATAGTAAGTTTTACCAGCCTTTCTTCTTTAAATAGTGACGACAAAATTAGAGTAAACTCTGGTGCTGATCACTTACTAAACATGATCGGATTTATGACAATTAGTCTACTGAGATACATTGCTAACAAGAAATCAATATCTTAGTATGCTTAGTAGCAATTCCTCAAACAAAAACGCAAGTCATTTGATAAACAACTTCCCAGTAGTGTTGACACAAATAGAGTGCGAAAACGGCAAGTCATCTTGATGTTAACAAGATCGTTAAAGGTGATCACATATCGGGATTCAATGTAGAACAGTGACTGAATGAACCATACACCTTTTGTACTTTATTTAGGTAATTAGCCGTGAACCAAGCTATTTGTGTGTAGGCAAGTAATACTGTGGTGTGGGTTACTTATATCCACACAAGTAGTATATAACGGTGATCAGGCATAGAATGTATTTCAGTAGGTCGATGAGGAAATAACGGGAACGGAATGCAATTGGTATGAAAACGCATGAACAATCAAATCTGAGACAATGGATTGATGTTTGCAACAGGAACAGTCAAGTTTGAGATGATGGATTGGTATATCACAAACTAACGATTTACTATACGGTTCTCAGATTTTATTGAGATACATCCGACTGTCCCCACTGGTGTTCTGTTCACTATAATACTACCTGGGTGCCCAGATCAAATTAAGTGGAATGGGGTGTGAAACTCTGACCTATAGTACGAAAGACAAATGCTTCGACCATTAAGTCACAACTTCATAAGACGTTGGTCGGTTGAATACTGTTTGAATTAGTGTATCCCGAGTAATAATAAGAATATTGTTGGATTTTAAAGTCAAGCCCAGGTCACATCTGAGATAAAAAATTTTCTATGGATAGAATGTCACAAGCAAATACTTATGGTATGAAACAATTTTTCAGAGAAAATTAATTATTATAACAGTTTGAATATAAATGCATAAGCCAAAATTAAAGCCGAAAATAATACAAAACATTATATAATTGCAAACACTCACGCTGGCTGCAAGTTCATCTGTTTTACTGACCAAATTGTTTAACCGATCACCTCGTTGAAGCGCTAGTCTAGTATTCTCTTGCATTACAGCTGTTACAGTATTCACATTATTACGTAACTGGTCCAACGAATCATTTCCCTTAGAAGAGTTGGGTGATTCCTGAAAAATACAGTAAATATGGGAAAAAGGATGATGCACACAATAGTCAATTAGAAAGAGCAACGATAATATCAATACGGGTAAACATGAAATAAATTTCACAGTTAGAGCTATTTACTGTTAAGCTATTAGAATGTGGAACATATAGATTCGTTATTATGAAGTACTTTTGCATCATATTCAAGAAACTGTTGTAATAGCCAGAGACATAAACTTCATTACTCTAGAATAGGTAAGTAGTTAATTTAAAATAACTATTGTAATTAAAAAGGTTGGCAGTATAAATGCAATTCAGTCAGTTAGTCAGTAACAACGTAGAACTTCGTACGTACGTACATCAGTTCGAGTTGCCACACCACATTAGCACAGGGATGCACTTATCGATTCAAATCCCGTAGTGGTAGAGGTAATAAGAGTATAAGCAGTAATCAGGAAGATTAGGGTTTGGAGATCTTATTTAAAGAGTATAATACAGTGAAAGAAATTTGGAAAGAGGAAAAAAGGGACATGAAGAATTCAGAAGATTAGAATTTGGGAGAACACAGAGAGTGTATGCACCTGCGCCATTGCAAACGATTTTGAGCCATGTCATTCAGGGTCTCTAACCATCGGTTGCTATCGTCTCGCATATCCCAACCAGGTAGTCTACACCTACCAACATGGCTCAGTCCACTTGTCAGTGACTTCATGGACTTGTGCCATGTTTTGGTTTGGCCGCCTCTAGCTTTCTTCCAACCTACTCCTATACCACTGAACATCGCACGTCGAGGCAGTCGGTGGTTGGGCATACGTAACACGTGTCCCAGCCATCTCAACTGATGAAGTTTCACTACTTCATCAATTGATTTGCCATCCTTACCTAGTACTCGTTTCCTAACAACTACATTACTTACTCGATAGTCCCAGGATATACGAGCAATGTTTCGAAGACACCTATGATCAAATACTAGTAACCTACGAATTTCCTCTACTCTTACCGGCCATGTTTCACTGCCATAAAGTAGGACGGGACGAACTGCTGCGCAGTAAACACGTCCTTTGGTTGATAGACGGATATCTCGCCTACACCATAAATGACGCAAGTTGGCAAAAGCTAGTCGAGCCTTCTGTATCCGTGCTGAGATTTCGTCACAAACCAGACCACAAGGACTGATGAGACTTCCAAGATAAGTGAAGCGGTCGACACACTCAATTGCTTCACTCCCTATCACTAGTTCGGGTGTCGATGTAACCCAATCCTGAAGCAACATTTTGCATTTCGAGGGAGAGAATCGCATCCCGAACATGCTTGCATTGTTGCTTAGAGTGGTCAGAAGACTCTGCATTTTGTCAGCGTCTTCACCAAATAAAACTATGTCATCTGCATATTCTAAGTCAACAAGTGAACCTCCCGGTAGAAGTTCAACCCCTGGAAATTTAGATGGGGAAAGTGTTATCTCTAAAAGTACATCGACCACAAAGTTGAACAAGAATAGGGAGAGTGGAGATGGGAGACAGAATCCAAATTAACTTTGATAAAGAGAGAGACGGATCAACAGACATGGGAATGATACGAACAAGTTACCAAAAATACATTTTACTATCTAGTACAAAACAAGGGAATCCGTTTCCTTTGGAAATCAGTTTCATCAGAGATGTCACGACTACACAAGGCTTCTGTACTTAGACTGGTGATAATAGGAAATCTACTTTTCTATGGACAAAGCAGTGTTTAGTTGACTAAATTTCTAAACTTTAGACCGACAGGTTGAAGGGTTCAAGCTCTCTTTACATACTTCACTTTAAATAACTAGGTGGTAGTGTTATTAGCCTTCGCCCGAAATATGGCCTAAAACTAAGTAAACGAATTTGCACTCGATTATTGAGTTCTGTTAAGAATTAATTTGAACGGTCAAGCACAAAGTATACAGACTAGGTGCTTTGTTCTACAAAATTGAGGAAGCTGATAGAAAAAGGACTGAAAATTGAGTGGTAAGTATTTTTGGAGTTTGTGTTTTATAGGACAGCCGGGTAAGATATGTTAAGCTTCGGTGTAGAATGCCGATGGATGAAATTATGGGACCATAAAGAGGGATGGAAGTGGTTAGAATGTCCTAGGAATAGTCGGCTCTCAAGGAACAAGTCCTCTGGATGAGGTGACACTGATTCATCTATCTTTTGTTTTCATATTTATTTTGCTACCTTAGTTCTTGGCCTTCAAGTCGCGGGAAATGCAACAAGTAACCATCATTTACTTGTCTTTATTTATTCTGCATATTCTGCGTATCTTCCTTCGATCTGATTTGTCCATTATTTTTTTAATTGGTTGATGGATTAGATCGATTCCTATGAGTTTGTTGATTGCTAACTGACTCGAGTGCCAAGCCTCTCACAAATTCTTTGGTGTTCTTTGTATTTTCTCTATCCAGATCTCAACATTTTTCTAATCGAACGAAAGGTACATAGATCGGGTTATCAATAGTAGAACTTATTGCAGAAGCAGTGATGCAGAGACGAGAAGACTCGATTTTACCGGTAATCAAACCAAAATGTGGGTTCGTTATGTGGGCTACGTATTCGTCATCATCAAAAGCGATGTGACAGAAAATAACTACAATCTGATCAAAATCGTCTTCGATGACATAAAATCCACAATGGAAAAGGAGTCGAACAACAAATCATCATTATTTGATGTACTGATTATCAGAACCGACACAAGAAAACTGGAGACTCAAGTATATGAGAAGCCAACCCACACAGATCAAATTCTCAACTACAGCAGTGAAAACCCAAAAACTCAGAAGATCAATTACGTACAAAGTGTATTCAAGAGGGTGAGAACACAGTGCAGCACACTTTCAGCACGGAAAAATGAAGGAAAATATCTGGTGACCATCCACCAAAAGAACGGCTACCCACACAAGTTCACCAAGAAATGTTAACCCAACTTATTATCAGAAACTAAATCAAATACAGAAATCAGTAAACGGATAATCCTACCATATATAAAGGACATATCCGAAATTAGAACGTTATTGAAGCTGCTTGGAATAGGTGGAGAACATAAACCAGTAAAATCACTTTAACTAACCCTATGCAAACCACACGACGAAGGGACAAAAGAAGAAAAACCAAACATCATCTACAAAACAAACTGTTCCAATCGCGAAAAACACTACATCAGACAAGGTGGACGCCCTTTTATCTTCGACTGCATAGACACCTATTAGCGGTCAAATGGCATAATATATCCTCGCTTACATCAATGGATGTGGACAACGGTGGACACATTATTATTTATTATTATTTATTTATTTGAACACATAAATATTGGTACAAGAGAGCGCCAATATATATGCGCCACACAAAACAATGGGAATTCGAAGAGAAGTAGAAAGAAAAAAAAAAAAAAACTAAGGAACGCAAAAGAAAAAGAGAGTAATGACGAAGAGGTACAATCAGAAGAAATCTTTCAGGTAAAGGAGACACAACCACTTTTTATGAAGAAAGTAAAAGAAGGTTACAGCAGGATCGCCACTGGCTTCTATTCTGAGCCATATCTGATAACGTCTCTAGCCACTGTGTTGCACCATCTCTCGGACCCCAGCCAGGGAGTCGTGAAGGACCAACACAAGCCAGTCCTTTGCAGCTTTCTTTCATGCCACGACACCATGTCATGCACTGACCACCTCTCCGCTTCTTCCAACCAGTCCCAGAGTCGGCAAATAATGCACGACGTGGAATTCTCTGGGACGACATTCGGAGAACATGTCCAAGCCACCGAAGTCGGTGTTTCAAGATGGTGACACCAATTGAGTTATCATCTCTGTGCCCGAACACACGATGCCGAACCTCTGCATTACTAACATGGTGTTGCCACTGAATGTCAGCAATCCTTCGGAGACAGCGATGATCAAACACAGAGAGTCGTCTAACGTCCTCAACTCGGAGAGGCCAGGTTTCACAAGCATAGAGCAAAACTGCTCTCACCGACGCGTTGTAGATCCGGCCTTTTACAGCCAGACTGACATCACGAAGGCGCCAAAGGTGGCCCAGATTGGCATAAGCCGCTCTGGCTTTCACTATTCGTGCATTGATCTCATCACTCACACCCCCACCAGCACTTATGCAGCTACCCAGATACACGAACTTCTCAACTACGTCTATCTGCTCACCATCCAGGGTGAGTACAGGATTGGGATCCTGCCAGTCTTGTAGAAGTACTTTGCACTTCGAAGGTGCAAAGCACATACCATACCTACGGACATTGATTGCCAACTGATTAAGTGCGGATTGCATGCCTTGGGCATTATCGCACAGTAAGACAATATCGTCCGCATACTCAAGGTCGAGAAGTCTTTCTCCAGGCAACAGATCCACACCACCATTACTTACATTCATCAGAGCTGTTTCCAGAATGTCATCGATGGCAAAGTTGAAGAGGAATGGTGAGATTGGGCAACCCTGCCTAACCCCACTGCTCGAATGGAACAATGGAGAGAGGTGGTTGTATGCCCTCACTCTGCCTGAGGTGTTTTTATACAGGGCTTTTAGGATGTTAATAAACTTCTCAGGCACACCCTTCTTCAATAGACAATCCCAGAGAACAGTCCTATCCAACGAATCGAAGGCAGCCCTGATGTCAAGAAACACAACGATTGTTGGCCTTTGAAAAGTATGGCGGTGTTCTAACATTTGGCGGAGGGTGAAGATATGATCAATACATCCTCGACCAGAACGAAACCCAGCCTGCTCCTCGCGAGTCAATCTTTCTCGGGTTTTGAACAACCTACGAAGAATGACGGAAGCCAATAGCTTGGACGCAATCGGAAGTAAACTTATCCCCCGATAGTTGTTACAAGAACGACGTGAACCCTTTTTAAAGATAGGGACAACTATCGACTCATTCCATGACGTTGGTACACTCTCTAGATCCCAAACCTTTGTAAACAACGTCGTCAATTCCTTAGTCAAAAAGTCACCACCATCTTTAAAAAGAGCCGGAGGTAAGTCATCTGGGCCAGGTGATTTGTAACGCTTCAAGAGTTGGAGTTCCTTGCGGACTTCCTCCTCATTTGGTGGATCAGTCGTCACCGGCCATGGAGGGCAGGACAGTCTGACCGATGTTACCGGAGCAGCAGGCCAGTTGAACTGCCCTTCGAAAAATTCTGCCCATCGTCCAAGACGTCGATGGATGTTAGTGATTGGCATCCCATCATCCTCGCAGATTGTTTCACTCACACCAGACTTCTTGCTGCCAGTGGCTCGGATGAGTTGGAAGAGCTTCCGGTAGTTACCAGATGCAGCTGCTGCTTCCAGCTCATTAGCACGCATCGACCACCAGGCTTCTCGGTCCTTACGCAAGCTTTGCCCGATTTCCTTACGTAAAAACCTTCGTTTATGGTCAAACTCACGGTTACCCGGAGTAGACCGACGGGCTTCAATGAGTTGTAAGGAACCAGAAGAAACCCAGTGCTTAAAAGCGGGACGTTTCGCAAACCCACAACTGACTGTACCCGCCATTTTCATGGCGTCATGCAATTGCAACCAATGCTCATCTATACTTTTCGGTGGAGTGGTAGCTAGCCTAGAGGCTAGCTCGGTTCGATACTTACTTGCAACAGAAGTTGCAACCAGCTTGCTAACATCAATCCGTTGATGGCGTTCACTTCGTTGTCCACTGAAAAGTAAGGCAAGATTGGCGCAGACCAAGGCGTGGTCAGAGTCCAGATAGGTACTCCAAAAGGAGCGGCAGTCTTGTACACAACCACGCCAGCGGTAGCTGATCGCGATGTGATCAATCTGAGTCCAGGCTTGAGATGCAGAGGGAGGACGCCAGGTGGCACATCGGCGATGACTGTGCCGAAAGTTAGTGCTAGCCAGAAACAGGTTGTGGTCTGCGCAAAGTTGCAGTAGACGGTCCCCGTTATCTGACCTGCGACCAACGAGTCCCCATCGGCCACCTAAACGACTCTCTTCTGTGCCTAGACGCCCGACCTGAGCATTCAAGTCTCCGGCTAGTACTACAATATCTGTCGAACGCACTTTCTGGAGAAGAACTGATAACTGGTGGTAAAACTCATCCTTGATTGCATCCGGGCTGCAATCTGTCGGGGCATAGGCGGAGATGACGAAAAGACATCGTTTCTCACGCCGATTTCTTCTCACTTTGGTGGAACTTTCTAATCTAACAGCACATAACCGACTGTTAATGGGGATCCAATCGACTAGTGCTGCCTCAGCTCTAGCGCTTAGTGCGACACCAACGCCAGCAAAACCAGACGAAGATGCCACAGGGTCCCCGGATAAGCGCACGTAAAACAAGCTTTTCGAAGCGACAGATGGAGATCGAATTTGTAGTACTTCGCCAGAGTCTTGAATACGGGTCTCGGATAGACAACACACGTCGATATTAAGACTTTCCAAAGACATAGCCAGCCCTATCTGTTGTCCGACCTGCATAAATGTGCGAACGTTGAAGGCAGCCAGTTTGAATGATGCACGTGGTTTCAGAAAATCTGCTTCAGTCCTCGTATTCGGTGGTAACATACAATTTTCAACCGGACAGTGACTCGAGAACGTTTAGATACAGTCGGAATTCCACCAAAGACGAGCCGCTGTATAAGTATAAAAGAAGGTGAATAATGTGGAAAATAATAATAATAATGATAATAATAACAATAATGACAATAATAGTAGTAATAATAATATTAGTATTAATAATGACAATAATTGAAGTGATCATAATTTGAATCAATTGATTGTTTTTCAAAGCGACAAAAGTAGTTTCCATAGACATAAACAGTTCATCATTTGTGTGTGGGCTGTGATACTGCCCGGGTGCCCAAACCGAAGCAGGTGGTTATCTTAGGGGGCCACTCCCCGAGCCTTTGACCTAAAGGTCTAACCCACAAGGCAGTGGAGCATCGTAAGGAGATGCAGTCCCATGGTAGCCGGTGACCAACGATTGGTTCATACGCCATTCGTTCCCGCAGGATACTGGAGCCCATGTGCACCATTGGTTTGGAATCCGGTTAAAGCGCCGGACATTCGCTTCTCGTCCTCTCATTTTCGTAAACAACACCCCCGCCACGAGAAGGCAATGAGTAGGACTTCCCTGGCAGAGGCTATATACGCGTGGCCGTGTGAGAGTATTTCGAGAGGGAGAGCGGACTCTCCCCACTCTCGGCCGTACCAGGGCATTCAGGGGGCGGTGGACACATATTCGACGTCATTAAGTAAAAAATATGGTATTCAGCAATTAAAAGCAGATGATGTATAAATGCAGTCATGTACTCTCTTTTAAGATAAATAATAGGGATTGAAAAACTGAGATTTCAAAGCGGCCAAAGAAAATCTATGTGCCATCTGATTGTGTTTCAGATAGACAAACAAATCAATGAAACAGGGTTAGTAGTACAAGTACTCGGGAATATTTGATATAGCTTTCAGCACAAAAAGCATTCCAAACAAAGGAATTGAAAATATTATAGGGGAAAAGAAGTGAGAAGTCACACAATTCATAGATATTAAAAACAGTATTCAATCAGAGAAAACGTTTAGTCAAAAATCTAGCCAAAAACGATTCCCCTCAGTTCACGAACTATAGCAAAATAGCTACTGACTCTGAGTAACACCTGATAACTTCTCCACAATCACCAAGACTCTAACCGGGAAGTCGTAGTGGACTGGTAGTTTCAAATCCTGTATCATTATTTTTCGTACCAGAGTTATATCACAATCGATAGATTCAAGATACTAAACAACTAAAAGTCTAATTACGATTCTTTACCACATAAACCAGATTAAACCAATTGAGGTGATGTCAAAACACCGAGAAAAAAATCTTAGAATAACGTTTAAAGCTTAAAGATAGTTGACTATCTCTGAAATTTTCAGACGTCTTAGTTATTTAGACTTGTGAAACAAGCCACAGACCAACATTTCCAGATATTAGGGAGTTGTTCAGTCAAAATACATACAATTCTTTCAGTATATTATACATCAACCATAACTTACTTCTTAAAAAATTACAATCAGAAATGATACAATATAACTTACCATCAAATCTTCCAAGGTTATATTATAAGACTGTTGTAAGCAATCTTTACCACCACTTTTAGCCCTTTGAAATCTTGTACCATCGCTTAGAAAATTGCGAGAAACCTGAAAATTAAAGTGTTGAAAAACAAAATTAGACTTCATTATTATCACGTAGTTAATTCGCTTTAGGTATTTTTGATAAACATGCGGTAACTGAAGGGAGAAGCTGAAGGGAAACCTAATACATCTATCAAACATGGTTCCAAAATCGACAGGAAACTGAGAACTAATAATATTACCGATTATTATCAGTCGAGCGTTTAAAGTGGGAATGATATTAATTCACAATCTCAAGTTGGGAGCTCTCTCAAACTAGAGGCTTTGAAGCACCGAAATTTATATCACACTACTCTATGGACTGGATTCAATCACATCGAGTGAGCTACTCAACTTTTCATATTCGAGTATCAGTCTACCTAGTCCAGCTAGTGAATAAGTTGGTTTCGAATTAGACCAAATAGAACCGATATTTGCGGCCACAAAAGTAGAGACTTTATCATCACACTTGTTAGTAGGATTTTAGATTTTCTGTGTATAAATGTGAATTTAACGTTAGACGTGTATTATAAGGGCGAAATTACATGTGACATACAGAAAACTGGAACATCCACATGGTACTTGGACCCCAAAAGCCTCAATTGTACCATGGATGTAATAGTATTCCTCGTTAGAACAAACCTCGGACCTTTTGGGTCTTACTATAATTCAACAATTTCTTCAACTGTATTAAGATTGGTGACATTTCTTAACGGACTCGTATGAACGACGCGTAAAAGTGCCTTCCAAGTAGCATGACACTGATCTGTGGTGATGTTCGCACTATTCTTCCACAATCTACAGCGTTTGGAGATTAGTTTCATATAAACATTATGGAACGTCTGAACCCCCAAGAAAAATTGTTCCCCTTGATTAAATGTGTACGATAATAAAGTGTGGTAGTCTGACTGTTTTGCGCAGTTCCACATACACACCAATCACATATTATTATCGAGATTAAATCGTTAAATACCATTATGTTAATTGAGCAAAAAAATTATAAAAACTAAGTTCATTTGTGAACAGACTAACCTCTACAACCAAGTTCCGAAATTTTTGTCGAGAAGCATTTCGATCGGTTACCGCGATAAAGGAAAGTCCTGAAACGGTCAGGCAGTGAAGAGAGAAACTAGAGTGAAAATAAAATCAAGACTGAAGCACTTACTCCCCTTCGCTATAGTATATATCTTGATCTGGAGGATTACATAACAGATATTTAAGTACCACGTCTTCAAAGCTACGTTTTGAGAACGACCGATGCCAAACGATATGTTTCTCGTTTGTTATAGCAAAGTAGCGTAGATCCATCATTCAGAAAACAGACAATTGAGCCAGCATTTTAAACTGTGCACCTATCTAGACTGCGCGCTGTTGGAAGCGCAAATAGCACAAACGAAATATGCTTCAGCCTTCAATCTTAAAATTATGAATGCAGCTGTAAAGAAACTTGTTTGAGAGGTAACCAGAAAAATGAGCTCGTATGCTCACAGTTGAAAATTCCATGTCTTTCGAACTTAGGAAGACGGATTCGAACCTCAATTATCACTCGAAAATGTTTTAGATTGCTTAGTTCTGGTCATCATAATATTCACGCTCTATCTATAGTAAACAATATACTCTCGCATCAAACCTGGAACTGCTTGTACAGGAATTCCTCAGAGGAAAAGTATCCGAGGTTTGAAAAAATGCTTCATACAACAAACTGTGGTTTATTTACAATCGACTCATTGGAAAAAACGGTCGATGCTGCCATTTGTTATCCTAAATTCTGCTTTTCTGTTTGTTGTCCCACTGAAACCAGTTTCGTAGTCGGGAGGGGAGAAGAGGTGATGTACGGGTAGAAAAATTTCGTTGAATTTCGAAAGCTGAATGGTCTAATAAACCAAGAAATTAAACGTCTGAACTTCGTGTTGTAGCGGTAAATAAATCCCCAAAATAAATAGCCCTAAGTTTTCGACATTGGATGCTGACCATATGTTTTAGTGGACTCATCTAGCTGAAGGCGCTCGGTCTTGCATCCGCACCAGATCACGTGTGGTAACGCCGTGCTCAACATCAACCGCAATCGCTAGCCAGATTAGATCAGAGAATTCCGATATATTGGTCATCGCCAAATATACTCTTCCGATCTCCTCGACTCGGTCTTTTGATTTCTCTGGGCGTGAACGAAATACATTAGAAGGTGTTACTGGTAGAAGCGTTGTCAAACACTGAATACCTGTGACATCATCATTGGTGAGCCCGACGTGATCTGGTACACCTAATTGCAACTGTGAGTCTGTTCCTTTTTGGGATTTTTATATATCATTGCCTTATTTTTTTATTTTTTAAACATTGTGATCTTTTTTCGTGTTTTTCTTTCTTGGATATATATATATTTTCCCCTCGTTCATTATCGTACTTCATACTTCATCATGACTGAACAGACACCTAAAGTACTCAAGCTTAAGACTTTGTCCTCGCCTTCGTTTCAACTGATGCCTTTCTGGCCCGACAACATCGAAGCCTGGTTTTGCTACGCAGAAGCCGACTTCTCCGAGCACGGCGTGATCGACACACGTGCACAACTCCTCGCAGTAGTCAAGGCACTACCGCGCGAATTCAACAGGTACGTAACACCTAGTATGTTTACTAGTGATGTTTCCGATCCTTACGAAATCTTAAAACGCTCGATTCTTAAACGAGGAGATCTAACTGATCGACAAAGGTTATATCAACTCTTCAACAATATCGACCTGCAACACGGTTCTGCGACGGACATGTTGCAACGGATGAGAGAGGTAATAGGCCCAAGAACTTTCGACGAAGGTCTATTCAAACAACTCTTCTTGTCAAAACTTCCCCAACAGGTGCAAGCAGTTCTGGTCTCGTTCCAGAACAACGCCTTAGACGAGCTAGCTGCATCTGCCGACCGCATTTTAGAAATTACGAAACCTTCTACTACCGAGGTATTATCAGTCAAAGAAAAAACTCAAACGACTCAGAATGATATAACCGATTTATGTCATACACTCACGCGTTATCTTAATCTTCGTACCGACCGTAAGAGATCGCGCAATCCACGTAGAAGCATTTCTCGTAAGCGATCTGTCTCTAGACCACGAGAGACAGATAACCCCGACTGGTGCTGGTATCATAACCAGTATGGAAAGCTTTCCAGAAATTGCAGAAAACCCTGCAATTTCCCCAACACGAAACCGACTGATTCGAAAAGCAATTCGGGAAACTTCCAAGCCAGCACGCGTTAACGGCAACCGTAGCCGGCAAACAAAGCCGTCTGTTATTCGTCACAGATGTGACAACGAGAGTTCGCTACCTCGTCGACACTGGCGCAGAAGTTAGCGTTCTCCCAGCAAATCCTAACGACCGACTTCACGAATAGACCCTAAACTTACAGGCGGCAAACGGAAAACCGATCGCTACGTATGGCAAAAGGTACGTTTACCTTAACGTGATTTTACGCAAACCCATCCACTGGATTTTCGTTGTTGCAGATGTTTCTATGCCAATCATTGGTATGGACCTTCTACAACACCACAATCTGATCATCGACACGCGCAAACGGAGGCTAGTAGACGGAAACACTAATTTGTCCGTTTGCGTAACTTCTTTTACTGGTTGTAGAGTATCCCCAGTCACAGTTAAACATATGATAGACCCACTCTATCAACCACTACTCGGTAAGTATTCTGGGATATATCAGTTGCAACCGGAATTGTCGTGTGTAACCAGCAACGTTACACATCACATCACGACTACAGGACCACCTGTATTCTCTAAAGCACGACGACTAGCTCCTGAAAAGCTAAGGTTAGCGAAAAACGAATTCGATCACATGATAGATTTAGGAATCATACGACCGTCAAATAGCCCTTATGCATCTCCGTTGCACATGGTCCCTAAAAAGGACAGCAACGATTGGCGTCCAACTGGTGACTATCGGCGATTGAACGCGAAAACCATTCCCGATCGTTACCCGTTGCCTCACATTCACGATTTGACAGCTACCTTGAAAGGTACAACTGTCTTTTCGAAAATCGACTTGGTTAAAGCGTATAACCAAATCCCTATGGCTACTGACGACATACCGAAAACAGCTATCATAACTCCTTTCGGACTCTATGAATTTTTGCGAATGCCTTTCGGTCTAAGGAATGCTGCTCAAACATTCCAAAGATTCATAGACGACGTTTTTCGAGGTCTCAACTTCGTACACGCGTATGTTGATGACTGTCTAATCGCAAGTCCGGACAGAGAAACACATCTCAAGCATCTGGATCTTGTTTTCGAACGACTTCGAAAACATGGCATAACTGTAAACCTTCAGAAATGCCGAATCGGGACCGACTCGTTAGACTTCCTAGGACACACTATCGATGCTCAAGGCATTCGACCTCTTAGGACCAAAGTGGCGGCCATTCTGGATTACCCAGAACCGACCACCGTCAAGCAATTACGCACGTTTAACGGCCTCGTAAGTTTCTATAGACGTTTCATACCGAAATGCGCATTACTTATGAAACCTCTTACCGACCAACTTCGTGGAAATGCGAAATCCATTAATTTGGACGACACCGCACGAAAAGCATTCTCCACAGTTAAGGAACTGATCGCTAAAGCAACAATGCTCGCACATCAGGACACCCGAGCACCCATTAGCATCGCAGTAGACGCATCCGACTCGGCAATCGGAGGAGTCTTACAACAATGGGTTAACAACTCCTGGCAACCCTTGGCATTTTTCTCTAGAAGGTTGCTAGACACCGAATCGAGGTACAGCACATTCGGTAGGGAACTCCTAGCTATGTATTGTGCTGTAAGACATTTTCAACACTACATTGTAGGTCGTGAATTCACTCTTTTCACTGACCATAAACCGCTCACTTTCTCGTTAAGCTCTCCTTCTGACAAGTACTCTCCCCGTGAGTCTCGACAACTGGACTACATTTCGCAGTTTACTTCAGACATTCAACACATCTCTGGAGCAAACAATGTAGTTGCAGACGCTTTATCTCGCATAACTTCCTTGAACAGTTTCCAAGGAATCGACCTTCTTAAACTCGCCGAGCTACAAAAAGAAGACAGTGATCTTCAGCACGAGTTATCGTCCACAACACTAAAACTACGCATCAAACAGATGGGAACAGGTAAGGAAACCTTACTTTGTGACACATCTACAGGTAGGGATCGCCCAATCGTGCCGAAACATTATCGACGCAATGTCTTCAACACATTGCACAAACTTTCGCATCCAGGTGTTCGTGCAACCATCAAGCTTATAGCAGAACGGTTTTGCTGGCCTGGAATGAATAAAAACGTGAGGGAGTGGGCACGCTCCTGTGTAAGCTGCCAAAAATCTAAGGTCATCAGACACAATAAATGTCCCTTAGGCTCGTTTAAAACTCCCGATGCTCGTTTCGACCATGTTCATTTGGATTTGGTAGGACCTTTACCAGATTCAAATGGATACTCTTATCTCTTAACCTGCGTAGACCGTTTCACTCGATGGCCAGAAGCAGTACCTATCAAGGACATCACTGCTGAAACAGTGGCCCGCACCTTCGTCGAACGATGGGTAGCAAACTTCGGTTGCCCTTCAACCATCACTACAGACCGCGGACGTCAGTTTGAATCCGATCTTTTCCGTCGTCTGACCACACTTTTAGGAATCACTCGCTTCCGAACAACCGCCTACCATCCACAAGCAAACGGGTTGGTAGAACGTTTTCACCGACAACTAAAAGCTTCGCTATCAGCTGCAAACGTTTCACAGTGGACCGACGCTCTTCCACTTGTCTTACTAGGTATCCGCAATGCAGTGAAAGCTGACATTGGATACACTGCGGCTCAACTCGTTTATGGAACGACACTTCGACTTCCAGGAGAATTCGTGGATCCTTCGTCCTCTTCAATGAACATGGATCTAACCTCCTACACGAACAGGCTTACAAACGCAATGCGTTCAGTTAAACCTGCTTCCACTCGACCTCAATCAACTGACGTTTTCGTTCAACCTGACTTACGATATAGTACACACGTTTTCGTTCGTCGAGACTCGCATCGACGACCATTCGAATCAGCATACGAAGGACCCTTCAAAGTTCTTCAACGCGAACCGAAGTACTATATAGTCGATAAGAACGGAACCAACGATAGCATCAGCATCGATCGCCTCAAAGCAGCGTACTTAGAAGGAAATCCTATCTACGTGGATTTTCCTTCGTTACAATCGAACGACACGACTCCACTCGTAATTCCTCAACCGACAACCAATACTAGCGATGATACTCCGCATGTATCTGAAAATAAAC